GTACCACGTTCCGGTATGCTAACTGTTTGGGTTTGGGTTCCATGAGAGGACCGATGATTTGATATAAAATGTGAAGTTGTGAAGTTGTTCGTAAATGATGATAATATTGTATATGTTGATATATATGCATGTGTTTATAATGTTGTCTTGACTTGCTTATGTTGCACTTAGTGGGATAGCCGCGTGATCCTATCAGTACACTGTGATTGTGTATTGATACTGCACTTGGCTCTTATTTTTGTTGAGTACATGACATCTTCAAGCGGCTACTGACAGACCTCGCTTAGGAGATCAGTGATCATCATTCGAATTCAAGGGTGAGCCAATTCTTCCAGGCTGTCATGGAATTCTCTTTCGTCTATGTCCACTATTTTCGGACTGAGACATTTGTTCTAGTTAGTTGATTAGTTCGTTAGATTGGGGTTGCATCCCTTCTTGTTTAGATTTGATTCATTGTTAGATGTTTTGGTACATTGACTTTCAGGTTCTAAGTTATTTCTTCTGTATTGTTTAGTTCTTGTTAGACTTTTGTTGGAGTTTATGGGAACTCCCTATTTATTTCTTTAGTATTTAACTTGCTTCTGTAACTTAAATGCCTTAGTTTTTAGATTAGTTGCTTGGTTTGGGTTGTAGTAGTGGTTCTCCCACCGGAGTGTTAGTGTGGGTGCCAATCACGACGGTCTGGGTCGTGACAGTTATGTATTGTTTCATAATGTATCATATTATATTATATTGTGATATATTATATTGTACTGTCTTGTTTTAATGAATACAGTGGTGTGATAAATTGTATCGTTCTTCGTCGTTGTATAATGTCACACGACTATAATTTGAATGATAAACCTACTAGAAAAGTCGAGACGTGGCAGAGATACTATGAAAAGGTAGGATAAAAGATGAAATATAGTTATTAAATAATAAATAAAGACAAAATGAAAAGAAAGTATTAAGGTAACAACGTGATCACACCAAATCGGTCGTTACATAAAATGTGCCTTTTCATGGTTACCTAACAATGAATTAAAACGATACGATACAATAGAACTTAACTAACAATCAAAACAAACATTGTATTTACACTAATAATACAATACAACGGATAACAACCATCCAAACAAGGTGTAAAGGGTTAGTGGGGTGGGGGTGCGGGATGGTGGGGTTAACTCAAAACCAATAATAATATTTATATTCAATTAAGAAATAGAAATTTTGTGTTTATCAAATTAAATCATTTAACACACAGTTAAAACTTAAATAACGTATATTTTTACTTTAATTCGTAACTTCTAACATTTGATTTTAAGATAATAAATAATGCCAATTTTCTACTCGCTCCGTCCACAATTGTTTGTCAGGATAAGGTCATGCACACCCCTGAAGGAAAATTTAATAGAAGGTGTAATTTGACTAATATAACCCCTATTATACCAAGAATACCAAAAGTCTACATAACTTTTCAATTGAACTACACTATCATTAAGGGCAGAATTGAAAAAAGGTGATTAATTGTTTCTTGATAGTTTAAATTGACAATTAATCTTGGACATCTATTTTTAGTATACCTGCCAAATAATTGTGGACGGAAGGAGTACCATATAGCTCTGTTGGTTTTGTTCTTTCATTTTTAGTGGCAAATTCAAGATTTTAAAGTCATCAATATTATACACATACTCATTTAATGTTATTTGCTTAAAAAATCGAGGTAATTGTTGAAATATATCACACAGTTCGATAATAACAAAAACTCCAAAAAAAAAGAAGACAATAATTAAACTGCTGAAAAAACCATTAGTTTTGTTTTCCATTTTAATGGTTTGCCCATTTAATTTAATTTAATTTTCAAAAAAATAATCAGGGTAATTATTAAACCATACCACACAATTCTAGCAACAACAAAAGCTGAATTGTTTCATTTACCATTTTCAAAAAGTTTTATTTTATGTATAACTAAATATAGAATAAAGACATATAAACTCCACGTTGAGTGTAAAGTCTAGCTAGATAATAATAACAAATACACATGGTGCTTTTCTTGTTCATATCAATAAATACAGATAATATTTCTCCCTTTATTTTTTTCCATTTTAAAATAAAAATAGAATAAAAACAAAGTCATCAATCCCAAAGTTATGTCAGTCATACAAAGTGTCAAACATGTTTATTAATTATTCCAACTTATTCCTGACTAAACTTAATTAGTACTAATCCAAAAGTTATTTTTAAAAAATAATAATAAATAAAATATTACATGTTTAGAATATTTGTTTTCCTCCTATGACTTTTTTATACTTGTTATTATTATCTATGGTTTCTTTTGCTTCAAAGATATCATGTTATTTTCTATTTTTTTCCCTTCTTTGCTTGTTAGGTTTTACTTGAATCAATCGAGAGTTTATTAGAAACAATTTCTCTATTCTTATAAGGTAGAAAAGAAGTTGCATAAATATCATCTTCTCTAAATTTCATATTGTGAAATTTTACTGAGTATATTTTTATTTTTCTTATTCTTTAAATAAATAATTAATAATTTTGAAAAATAATAACTTGTCTATTTATGAATTAATTTTTTTTAAAAAGAGACTAAAATATTAAATTTATGAATTGTGAATATTAAAAAAAATTCTCATTAAATTCTATATATATGTAAAGTATATACATAGAGAGAGTTATATTTATTAATAACAAACTTAAGTAAATGTTTCAACCCCAAAAAAAAAACTTTGACTAAATTTACTGAAATTTATCAAATCTGTAATAACTAATACTTTATATTAAATATAAAAAATTTATACATGTATTGTCACTACATATAACTTAAATGAAATAAATAAAATAAAAAAGGAACTTCACAAACTTCCTTCCTTATAACAAAAGCAATTAACCAATTACCACATCTTTCTCCACTTTCCACAAAATCATAGAGGCGAATCTAGAATAAATTCTGTTAATTTAATCAAATATATATATTTATTTATAACTTATGAACTTTAGCACTGAATTCACCTCTATAAAAACTCGATAATCAAAAGAAAATAAGGCAAAAGATGAGAACTTCTTAAAAACGATGCAACAACAGTAATCTCACAAAATGAAGTACGGACATAAAATATAATATACAAAAAAATCATTTTTAATAAATCCTCGACTCAAAAAAGAAACCAATTCAAAAGAGTACAAAAAAGGAAAAAGAAAGGAAAGTGAAAACAACCTTCTCAAAACAGGAGGTTGGCTAGTACAGATAATAAATATATAACGAACTCAAACAAAAAAAGATTGTATCATCATTAACTCATTAAAAATAAAAATGGTAAAACAGATAATCAAAATATAATATTACCCAAAATTTTTTTAACAAATTTAAATAAAAACTGGATGCTTCATTGATTTATACCCATAATTCATATCTAAAATTACAACCATACTTGACATACTAAAACAAGAAAAAGAAATGTGCAATAGATACTATTAAATAATACTTAAAACTATTTTTTTTCTTTGTTACTACTAGCTAGCTAGCTAATAACTTACCTAACGATACGATACGACACGACACGATGAATAAATGAAACTTGACATTACTATTAATTCTAAAAACTACTACTAGAGTTAGACTCTTTGCAACAACTTTTATCAATCAGTCACTTATGAGTTTCAGATATCAGATGATTATTTCTGAATAACATTTTCTATGAGTTTACATGCTACGTCTTCTTTTCATGATCTTGTTACAACCATTGTTAGCATCTTCAGCATTCCTGAAAAATGAATCGATTTCTTCCTCAGCAACCATGACGACAATCTCAAATCGCAATCTTCTCTTGCACGATGACCGATTTGCCCTTTTCGGTTTCTTAGGAGCACCAGGACAGTTAACAGCTTTGGGAATCTTACATGAAGGAGATTTTGGGGTTTTGCATTCATTTGGAGGAGGAGAGTTGATGTTTGGTGATTGGTTTTCTTGGAAATCTTTTGGGGTTTGGAGGTCTTTAACCATGGTGAAATTAAGAGAGAGAAAGAAGAGAGCGAAAGTGATGGTTTGAAGAAAAGAAATGTATTTTTTATTTTTTGTTTTCATTTAGCGGTCATAATTTATACTAGTGGAAAAATAGTAGGGATGGTTAGATTGCTTACATTTGGAGGAATATTGTGATGGTTAGGAATAAGACAAAAAAGATACATGTCAAGTATCACGATGGTCTGTGAGATTTCTACATGTACTATCATGTGAACCTCTTTTATCTAGCTGTATTTATCTTATATGTTCACACTATTTAAAAAACATTAATGATGTTTTTTTTTTTCAATTTTACCCTTATTTAAATTAATTAATAGAGTTTTACATGATTAAGAAAGAGTTAAGAGTTGTTTTAAAGTATTTATAAAAGGGTAAGTTAGTAAAAATATATTTTATTCTCATAATCAACCTACTAAGGAGTTAGTAGTTACGTGTATCACGTTAGTCTGTGAGATTTCTACCGGTACTATTATTCTTTTGTGAGTTTCCTACTTGAACTATCACTTATTGTTTTTCAAAATACACCTCAAAGTTAATGAGTAGGTTGTCATGTAGACGAAAATTTATGAGCAAATTAAATTGTCACGCGTGTGTTGACGATTGCATTCAAACACTTGATCTAGTCTGCTTCGAGGTGTGTTTTGATAATTGGTGATGGTTCAAGTAGGAAACACTAGCACTTGATAATTCAGTTATTAAACTCACAAAAACGTGATACGATAAATATGTTTTGACCATTAACAAAGAATGTGTATTCTTCGCTTGCGTATATTCAATGTATAATAAAACTATAACAAGTGTATAATTAGTGTTTATACAACATACTAGCAAACAAGGAATGGAGATGAGGGTTCATTATTGTTTTATTATCAAGAATTTTATTGGGTTATTGATAGTGTTGACATTTATTTTTCAATCATATGATATTGATATTTGTAATTTACCGATTCATTTAAATTCACATTATGCAAGTATATTAGAAGGAAAGACGTTTCTATAAGAAATTTCTTCATTTTTAAAGTTGGATTTGAACATGTTATATCTAAAATTCTAAATAAAGATAAATGAATCACATCAGTCACGCCTTATAGTTCTTGGTGGTTTAAACCAAGTTATTATTCTACTTCCAATATATTAACATATCAAACTTTATTATAAAGAAAATTGTTATCATAGGATTAACTTAATTTGATGATACAATAAAAGAATTATACGTTGTCAATACACAAAACATAGATTCTATTTGAAAGAAAATAAACTTTTGGCATGTCATTTAGTTAGTATAGATATGTACAATAAAACAACTGTAGCTACTTAGACTGGTACTCCATCCATCTCAGATTTTTAAAAATAAATATCTTAAATTATTTTTATTTTAAAAATTCAATACAAAATGATTTTCTTTCCATTTTACCTTTACTAGTAATAATACACTAGGTACGTTGTACAAAGACCTTAATTATAAAAGGAAGACAAATAGATAAAATAAATATTCCAAACAATAGAGACAATATTTATTAATGAGATGATATGTTACAACGTAAAAACAAATAAGATAATTGGAAGAAAAACTGTCTAATAAATATTTTATCTCACATTGTTGAGAGCTCATTACATCTTATTCCTATTATTTCCCTAATTACAAAAAATCACTTAAATTTATAGGATCTCAGATACATCAGAAAATCTGTGGTTACATAGCTCACAGATTGTGAATGATACATTACATAATTGAAGGGTGTATCCTAGAAGGAAAAGGATGTATCCTGAGAGAGGATAAGGCGAGAAGGGATTTTTGTAGGGATTTTAGAGATGATAGTAATATAAGATGTATATTTATATAATTATTCCAAAAAAAATTTTATGTAGCATATAAAATACGTTACATATATTTATTAGTTAAGACTTAGAAGTACAATTATTATATGTGTCTCTCTCATATTTGAAGGCATTAATTATTTGCTTATATTATGATGAAATATATATGGTAATTTCTAACTCTACTAATTTCTTGTTTTGTGCTTGAATGATCTATAATTTAACACATCAACTAACTATCTAAGTACTTATATTTTGCTTAATTTAGTGGCTTGCATTAATACAACATAGCTGTGAATTAAGCTCATAGATAAAAGATAGGAAGTATAAAGTACAGAAATCCTACACATTTGGGGACTGAGTACATTATATTTCGAAAGTTTCTCTAATTATAAATATTTCAAAAATTTTATTTACATTTTTTGACTGTTCGATACATTACATTGCTTAATGAGAAGGATGTATTCGAGAGGGAATAAGGATTTATCCGAGAGGGAATAAGGATGTTTGCGAGAGGGGACTGGAGATGTATCAATTATCAACATTGTTGTCAACCATAATTCAGATCCATCATACTTAAAACTTGCAACCATACTTGACATACTAAAACAAGAAAAAGAAAGGTGCAATAGATACTACTACATAATACTTAAAACTATTTTTTTCTTTTTTACTAGTAGCTAGCTAGCTAACTTAGGTTACGATACGATACGATACGACACGACATGATACAATAATTGAAATAAACGAAACTTCACCTTACAACTAATCTAAACAACTTCTACTAGAGACTCTTGCAAACAACTGTTATTAATCGGTCACTTATGAGTTTCAGATATCAAATGATACTGAAAAACATTTTTATGAGTTTACATAGTACGTCTTCTTTTCATGATCTTGTTACAACCATTGTTAGCATTTTCAACACTTCTGAAAAATGAATCAATTTCTTCCCCAGAAACCATGACGACGATCTCAAATCGCAATCTTCTCTTGTACAATGACCGATTTGCCCTTTTCAGTTTCTTAGGTGCACCTGGACAGTTAACAGCTTTGGGAATCCTACATGAAGGAGATTTTGGGGTTTTGCATCCATTTGGAAGAGAAGAGTTGTTTGGTAATTGGTTTTCTTGGGCCATGGTGAAATTAAGAGAGAGAAAGTGAGTTTATATTATTTTTTCATTTTGAGGTCTTAATTTATACTAGTGGAAAAAGAGGAGGCATGGAGGAATATTGTTATGGTTAGGAATAAGGAAAAAAAAATACACGCGAAGTATCACGTTGGTTTTTGAGATTGCTATATGTACTATCATGTGAACCTCTTTTATCTAGCGATATGTATTCACACTATTAGAAAAATGTTTGTGATGTTTTCTTTTTCAATTTTACCCTTATTTAGATTAATAAAATTTTACATGATTAAGAACCTACTAAAGAGTTAGACTTACAGTTGTTTCAAAGTATTTATAAAAGGACAAGTTAGTAAAATTACATTTTATCCTCATAATTAACCTACTAAAGAGTTATAAGTATCACATTGGTCTGTGAGATTTCTACATGTACTATCATGTGAACCTCTTTTATCTAGGGATATCAGTTATGTGTTCACACTATTAGAAAAACTTTAGTGGTGATTTTTTTTCAATTTAATCCTTATTTAAATTAATGAAATTTTACATGATTAAGAACATCCTAAAGAGTTACAACTATTTCAAAGTATTCATAAAAGGACAAGTTAGTAAAAATACATTTTATTCTCATAATTAACCTACTTAAGAGTTATAAGTATCACGTTGATCTGTGAGATTCTTACATGTATTATCATGTGAACCTCTTTTATCTAGCTGTGTTTATCCTATGTATTCACACTCTTAAAAGATGTTAGTGATGTTTTCTCAATTTTGCGTTATTTAAATTAACTAATGAAATTTTACATGATTAAGAACCTACTAAAGAATAACAAGTATTTCAAAGTATTTATAAAAGGATAAATTAGTAAAAATATATTTTAGCGTTGCAAAAAGGTTTAACTATTGCACTAACCTACAACTTAACGCCACTTGAAATTAATGTAGACTGTCAGGGTATCCTCCACTGTCTAGCAAGTGTTCATCCATCCTACTCTAATATTTTGGCTGATTGTAGGGAACTTCTACTTAAATTTGGAAACCCTTCGGTGCAATATAAATACAGGGAAGAAAACCAAGTGGCAGATACCTTGGCTAAGGAGGGGTCTAGACTGAAGGAAGCTAACTCCCTCGTACTTTGGATAGCTCCTCCGTTGATTGTTTCTAGTAGAATAGAAGCAGATAAAGTAGGAACTCTTTATGTTAGCTTAAAAAAATTGTCTTCTACTATAGAAGGTATTAATGTGTATAATGTAAACCCAATCCCTTTTCCGAACGTTACTAGCCATACTCGGCCATTTACTTGTACTAATTATAATATATCATCTTGTTTACCAAAAAAAAATCCTACTAAAAAGTTACTGCTATCTCAAAGTATTTATAAAGGGTAAGTTAGACGACTATCAGGGGTTAGCATTTCATATCTGAACTATTATTAACTATTTATCAAAACACACATCGACTAGCATATGATGTTGCATGTACTACACAAAAAAAGATGCCAAGTGTCACTCCATGTGAATAATTAAATAAATTAATTGAAAATATTCTTTTAAAAGAAAAATTACACTTGAAGTATCATGTTTTGCGAGTTTCCTACTTGAACTATTATAAACTATTTATCAAAATATACCTCAAAATTAATGAGTAAGTTGTCATGCAGACATAAATTTATGAGCAAATCAAATTGTCACGTGTGTGTAGGTGATTGTATTCAAACACTTGATCTTGTATATATGCTTCAAGGTTTGTTTTGATAATTAGTGATAGTTCAAATAGAAAATACAAACACCTGATAGTTCATATATGAAATTCACAAAAATGTGATACGATAAATATGTTATTGACCATTAACTCTTATTATTATTGGGGATCTCAACTATTTTATTTAGTGGGTTAAATATTTTTTGCCCAAGTCGAAATAATGTGTATTACTTGTGTATATTCAGCGTATAACAAAACTATATAAAGTGTATAATTAGTGTTTATATAACATACTGGCAAACAAGGAATGAAGATAAGGGTTCGTTATTGTTTTATTATTACATATTTTATTGGGCTATTGTATAGTATTGACATT